CATTTGTTTCTATTTCTTTTACTGCTCTTACCTTCTTATTGCTGCTAGTTTCTTACATCTTTTTAAATCTTTGGTCCTCTTGGTCTCAGCTTGTGTTGTTGGGTTCTTGTGTTGCCTGGGTTCTTGTGATGGTTCTTGTGATGGTTCTTGTGATGGTTCTTGTGTTGCCTGGGTTCTTGTGATGGTTCTTGTGTTGCCTGGGTTCTTGTGATGGTTCTTGTGTTTCCTGGGTTCTTATGATGGTTCTTGTGATGGTTCTTGTGTTGCCTGGGTTCTTGTGATGGTTCTTGTGTTGCCTGGGTTCCTGTGATTGTTCTTCTAATGGTTCTTGTGTTGCCTGGGTTCTTGTGATTGTTCTTGTGATGGTTCTTGTGTTGCCTGGGTTCTTGTGATGGTTCTTGTGATGGTTCTTGTGATGGTTCTTGTGTTGCCTGGGTTCTTGTGATTGTTCTTGTGATGGTTCTTGTGTTTCCTGGGTTCTTATGATGGTTCTTGTGTTGCCTGGGTTCTTATGATGGTTCTTGTGATGGTTCTTGTGATGGTCGGGTTATATATGTCTGTTGTGGATCATGCACTATGGGTTCTTTTCTGTTGAATTGTATTATTTATTTTTAGTATTTTGCATTTGTTATGTTCTTGCTGTTGTTTATGTTGTTCTGTGTTTGGTTTAGTTTGTTCTTGCTTTTGCTGTTTGTCAAAGTACTTTGTAAACCTGTGTTTTTAAAAGGTGCAATATAAATAAAGTTATTATTATGTCATTCCCCACTCTCTTATCCCTGTTTTAGACTCTGTCTACTATCCTTCTGTATATCTAAAGGCATAAAAGCCCTCCCCCCCCCAAAAAAAAAAAAAAGCTTTTAAAAATCAATATTTGTTTCCCGTTTGTGTTAATACCCAAAAAGAGTTGCAATTTAAAAACCACTTAAACTATTTTGAACAGTAGACAGTTGAGCATATCCATTTCTATCTGCTTTTGCTAAGGATTCAAGACTCTGGGCTATAGCTGTTTCTCTGTCAACAGGGATTTCAACAAGGATCAATGAATATCTACAACTATTTCATATTGCCACTATGTTTTTTTCCTTAATGTCATGGATGCCAGACTTCAAAGAGAAGGCTCTTCACAGGGAAGATGAGGTGCTGTGACCCTTTCTGTTCCAAGAAGCAAGGAGAATCCTTTTTTTACGCCTTTCTCACAGTTTCTGATTAAAAGCTTCATGCAGTTAAGGGAAAAATAAAGCCAGGTAATTTTGGACAAGACAAGACAAGGCAGGACTTTGATCTTACTCAGGAGAGAGGAGTTGGCTGGGAGCTAGAGAAAGAAGATGTGTGTGTGTGTGTGTGTGTGTGTGTGTGTGTGTGTGTGTGTGTGTGTGTGTGTGTGTGTGTGTGTGTGTGTGTGTGTGTGTGTGTGTGTGTGTGTGATTAAGTACACAGACAGTGTGTGTTTTTGTGAGCAGGCCAGACAAAGAATATACAGTAAAATGAGAATAAAAAGGGTAAGATCTCAATTATCAGAGTCCATTTGTTCCAATGCAGATGTAATGCTAAGAACCTTCCCATGTTGCTTAGGTGACATTGTAGAGACTATGCTGGTATTTTCTCAGCCAGATTCCTCCTAGCACTTCCGCTTCAGTCAACATAATAGCAGCATTTTTCTTTTGACATCATGCCCTGGGTTTGAAGTTCAAACACTGTTATTAAGTTGTAGGCAACTGCTATTTCCAGGTTTAAAAAAATGAGTAGGCTGCTTGACAAATTAGGCCTACTTTAATTTGACTCCATTTTGATAGCCAGCAGCTGAAAAGAATTTTTTCTACATATTTAAATATTTTAAGATTTAAGATCATTGTCAAAAAGGGGTTCGCCCTATGTTCCCACAGCCATATGTTCCCATAGTTCCCATATTTCTAAGATTTTTCTCAATATTAAACCCTATGTTACCACATTTCTAGGACATTTTCAAAATTAGGTCTTGTCTACATTTCCCTTCAATTTAACGTTTCCTCCATGAGCCTATAACGCCTCCAGAGGGCTGGAAAGTGACTCCAAGCATCCCAGGAGCTCCCCCTCTCTATGTCAACCCAGCTCTCCAGAGGTATTGATGCACTGCAAACTATGGTTTGTGTCCAGTTGCTGCGCTTCATTCGACTGATCTGACCAGAAGCTAGTCAATGCGAGGCCTCTGTGCTACTTAGTTTGTTTATTTAAGAGGACAATGTGCACTTACATTAAATGTTTTCAATAAATAAAGAGATGGGCGCACCAGATTTAGCTAAATCTACATTCCATCTGTAGTCCATTGCTACTGAATAATAGGTTGGGTGTAATTGGCTACCAAATTGGGAGAAAGGGGGATAAAATCTGATACAAATTTATGAAGAAGGAAATGTGGGAACGCTCCTGTCAAAAAGGGACAAACAGTTAGGCCCAGTAACAAAAGCTTAGTATAGCACTCAACAAATTCCTGCTAGCATACAAATGTTGCTGTTAGCTCCTGTAAGTTAGCTGTGGAAACTTAACCAAACCAGACCGCTTGGGGCTTCATTGTCAGCTATTGTTGCTGTTAGCTACTTTTAGTTGCTTTTAGCTAGCCAATGTTACTGTTAGCTAACAAACATTTACGTTAGCTAGAAATTTGTCTTTCCTGTATTTTCAAACACTATTAAAATGAATGTTAGCTAGAAAGTAGTTAAACACTAATGTAAGCTGCAGTCTATAGGCTAGCTAATATATGGAATATAGTGTTGACAGCTAATGTAGCCCAATGTCCCTCTGGCTTTCCCTATGATGTCTCATAGAAGCAGAATCACTAGAGAAGCAGTGAATTATGACTGTTTGATAGATTTCATAAACCTGCCGTGTTTGAGCTTCCCACCCTGAGCACAAAGATTTGCAGCACGCAATTGTCTCTTTAAAGATATTTAACACCACTGTTGAAAAGATGTTAAAGACCTTCGCTTAAAAGAAAAAACATTGATGCCACTGAAATCAACATTTTCGCCACCCTTTCATTGCTGTAAAGATGAAATCATCAAAATGATCGCAGACAAAAACACAATTAAAAAAAAAACTTTTGTAGGGTTGAAAATGATTGAAAGGTCTTGGACCAACACAATTTCAACCTTTCTTAATCTAAATTTCAATGTTGGTTGTTAGGGTAAAGTAAAATGGCCGCTGTGTGAATATTGTGAATGGGGGTTGCAGCTATAACGTTTACAGGTGTCATGGTAACAGAGAGGACACCTTAGCATGCTTTGACACACTTTCTGCTGTAAAGAAAATATAAGGAGGGAAAAGCAACTTAGATCCACTTGAAAGCATAGTCTATCAGAACTAATGCTTGGTTGATAACGCATATGAACCCATCTAGCTGCCAGCCACAGCGGAGCATTCAAAGTAATCTGATAAAGCCATGTAAAAACTGACTGCCAGTGCACTCTCCTCTGTCGATGAGAACAGTAATCCTATTTTCCCCTGTCTCCCTGTCATACGCTATTTCACCTATCTGATCGTCTTCTAATTGACAAGAGCAGCCATGTAACCTCAGGGTTGTAAAAGGAGTGAATGTAGAGCAACAGTTACACGAGCCTCCCATGGGCATTGAGTTACACAGATAGTCCTACAAAATGTTAGTTTTATCAAGCAATCAATCAACCTACCCTATCTTAGCAAATTGAGACAAATGCTGCATAAAAACAGTAAAGGTTGTGTTGTGGGTTTGACTTCTATATGATTTTGTTTCCATTCCACAAAGTATATGGAAAATCTAAGAAAATACATATATGGTGTGCAAATATATTTACTTTATTTTCAGAAAAAGCTATTTGCTGGAAACATCTTTATGACAAAGACCAGAGAGGCCATTAAAAAAAAAACTCAAGCGTCTAACCAATCCACCTAAACTTAATCAGCAGTGTAACTATTTGGGAGGGAAAAAACAACTTTATAAAATGTAGCGGCCAAGTTACCCTTCCCCCAGCAAAAAATTAGCTCTTGAACCTAACACACATCTGTTTCCCAACCCAATTTCCATAAGAAATAACTTGATGGTTTCAAATGTGTTCAAGAATATTGACCATTTTGGCATGAATTCAACTCAAATATAAAATATATTAAAACGGAAATGACATTCTGTTTTTTGTGTTTGACTTTAATTGTACAAAAAATGGAATAAAATCAGAACACTTCAAGATATATTGCAAAGAGCTAAAGCTTGGGTCTTTGGGCTGCTGATGGTCTATAGGTCATGGGTCATTGCTCGCAGTACTCATCCAGACTTTTATGCAGTCTATATGCCCTCCTAAACTGAAACAAAATGACCAACAGTTTTCCTTTCATTACACAGAGACATATAACACTCTGATAGAGAGCCATAATAAAGCCCTCTTACTGGTCACATTAAAGAGTGTATGAAACAGCAGGAAGAAGGAAAGGCCTATAGCTGCAGTAAATCATTCACAGTCTGTTATTCCAGGGAACCAGTGAGGGAGTTTGGGTGAAGTGTCCCACTTTATTGATTTTAATTCCATTAATACCTTATGACCGACTTACTTGGCAGACTCTCTCAGGCCTGAGCCCACACATGCCTGTTTTCTTGTTGGATTTGACCAGTCTGTCTTATCAGCTGGCAGCAGGCAGGAAAAGGTGCAGGAGAAGGCCAGAGATCCATGTTAGACACAACAAGCTTAGATGAAGAATGATTAGTGAGGGCTGCCAACCAAACCCCCCGTATTAGTTCACTTATATTCGGTGTCTGAGAGAGAGAGAGAGAGAGAGAGAGAGAGAGAGAGAGACAGTGGGTGTGTATGTGAGGAAGGGAGGGGTACTGCTTACTTTCCTGGCACCTGATGCATCAAATTTACTCCACTCGCAGCAATCAGCAGATGCATATGAATGAATGTCATCAGTCACTGTATTAGGCTACATATGTGCTCAGGGTTTCCACTGGAAGTCCTATATCTGGACATTCAGGCTATGCGTAAAACGAGTGTGCGCTACGTCCCTGTCATTTTCAACTTTACATTTGTCTTTTATGTCACAGGCAGGATCAGTGTCAGCATGATGCCGCCATCAGAGACCGTCTTGCCCTCAGTTTTGTGGTTGCGTGGAAACTAAAAAAAGGCAGCAGTGAGCGCGCCCTGCCTGAACTGTGGGAGCATTTCCAGTGGCGCTTCGTGGTTGCCAGAGCGGCTCTCAGCACAAGTTTAACGAGCAGCAAAAACAAAGACCTGATGGACGCTGACCAGAACATTCACCAAGCCTGCTTGTGTGGATCTCTCTGATCTGATCTACTGGGCGGTTTCATTGTGAAGCACATGCTGGGAAACGCACGATGAAAAGGAGAGGGAAAGCAGCAAAAACGTGAGTGTTGCGCATGTTTGCTTTGTGTTTGTTGCATGCATTTACGCGTTGTTAAACCACGAAAGAGTGAATGTTTTCCGGTTTTAAGCTAGTTTTTTTTAAATATGATTGGACCTGGGAAGAAAAACTGGATGGTGCGGACTAAAACAGGATGGAAGACAAACTTAACGGGGTTATCAGTTTTCATGAGGAATCGCCTTGTCTCATTTTTCCTTGAGTTCATTTCAGATGCTTGTTGCGTATGAGCGTAATTTAAATTTAAGCAGAAACTGACACAACATGTGTGTTTCGATTAATATAAATTAAATGTATTGCATGAGTTTTGCTTTATCATTGAAGTTACCTTAAGAGTCTGATTATTGAAGTATAAACTCAACATAGGTGCAAACCTAGTACAATGAAAATGAGATCAAACCCTTAGTGATTAAGGATTATTCACATTTATTCCCATTACACTATTGAAAGTCATACTGTTACTGTGTTTTTGTGCATACTGCTTTAAGGGTCTTTTGGTACAACTGAAATCTGCCAAATGCTGTGTTGTGCACTAAGGAGCAAAAAATAAACCTTTCAAGTTACTGATGGAAATTGATTAATGAGATTGGCTGTGGATGGAGCTAAAAGCACTGAAATATAATTATAGTTGCATTTAAAATGCTGCTTTTGAAGTGAAGATGTCAGACGGTGTTTATTCCCCTGCTTCCCTTTCTGTCATCCACACCCCCCATTGATAAACCAGCAGCCTATTTGCCATTCATGCAATGCTTACAGCTGTGATCGGATGCCAGGAAGAGGTCAGATTCATGCATGAAAAAAAAAATGTCATCAAGTTTAACGATGTAATAAATTTTAAATGCCTATCATGTTTGGGTTTGGGTCCAAATGACTGCTCTCTGATTGGTTCTAGAGATGTGCCTATACAGCCCTGACAGCATGAATTTACGGGTGAGAGACTGACCTTTGTTTGCATGAGTGCTGTTTATTACAGAAATAGGCATTGACTGTAGGAACATTGACAAAGGCTTTAGCTGATTTAGAGACCAATTTTTTTTAGTATTATGTTGTGGAATGGGCTAAATTGAGTTGTTTGCGTGTAAACGATTCATGAAATCACAATTTTATTGGCAGTAGCATCTAAAAAAAAAGCATAATTTGAATTGAACACTGATAATGAAAATCATTTTTATATTGATGGGGCTCATTGCACTCTCTCTTGAGGGTTTATCTCACTCATCTTCATCAACTGTGTCTTACTAACATTTGCTCCTTTCCTCGATATCTCATTAGTGTCACGCACTGTTCTATCCGTTGTTATCGTAATGTTACCCCTCTCCTTAAACCCTCCTGATATCTTTCTTTCTCTCACAACCCTGTGCTCCTCATGTGTCCAATTACCCTCCTTGCCAAAATGCTTTCTCCTCCTCCTCCATTACCAGCCTTCTACCACGCTTCCCCCATTATCTCTCAGCAAAACACCATGGCTGGCATGACACGTGAAGGGGAAAGTATGGCCTTTACAAGACCATAATGTTACCCGTTTAGTTAGCCGTTTTACTTCCACCCCGCTGACATGTAGGGGTGGATGTTGCCTTGTCTAAAAAATGATATGTATATAATACTTCATGTGTTGCCCAGCTTCAATCTTCTCCAATGGTTCATAATTGGGGCTGCCTGACATGCAGCTCTTAAATGGGCGTAACACAATGAGTGTTATTAGCCGTGTCTCTTAGACAAATCATCTGTCCCCTTTACACACACATACACACCAACATTACCACAACACCCTGTCCTCCACCTCCCCATCGTCATGTGATACTTAGAGGTACTTAGAGATCGATTTCATTTTTTAATCTTGGTAAGTGGATCTTGCCCAGTCTCCAGCCATTTTGAAGAAAAGTCCGGCTGAAATCTGCAGTTCATTTTTGTTTCAAAGAAGACAGGCCTTCACATTGTCTAATAATGGTGCAGTTTATAGCATTAGCATTTATCCCAGACAAAAGGATTGGGTGGCCAACAACACTGACGCTACACTGACTTAAGGAGTTTTTCCTTAAGAGGATTAGTAACAGGAGAGGAGTTTGCCGTGATCAGCTATTAATGAAGTGTGTTAGGGAGGGTAGACCTGGTATTTTCAAAGACATACACACAAAAAAGAGTGAAATCTACAGGGCACACAGACAAGCCTTTACCTCTGTGTTACTTGCACTTTTGACTACACTACGCTAGTGCTTCTTTTGACTACAAGAAGCACTAGCAATTGGGAAGCTTAAAGAGGACATATTATCCCCCATTTTCCAGCTTTTCAAACAGTCCCCCTGTGGTCTTAATGAAACATCTGTGCTGTGCTTTGGTCAAAATATAACATGAATCAAGCACCAGAGGAGGTTTGTGACCCTGTATAAACCAGCTCTCTCAGAACGCTCAGTTTTGGTGTGTGTGTTTCTTTAAATGCAACAAGCCCCCCCTGAGTTTTCCTGGTAACATCACTTCTCTGAAGAGAGAATAAAAATGGCAGACCTACCCAAAAATGTTGCTCTAGGCTGGGGGTGGAGTCCATGGGTGGAGATACCAGAGGAGGGGAGGGTTTTTTTTTTTTTTTTTTTCCAGAATCCCACTGTGACAGCAAATTTGAAACAGAGCATTTTACTCTGCGTTGTAAGACTTATGCAAACCACAAACAAATGACGGGATGGTATGTAGAGACTCAGGTTACCGAAATATTTTTAAAAACACTGTCAAAGTGGATTTTTCACAATTTGTACCCTTTAAGAGACATAAAGCAAGGGGAGTTTACAAAGCCTATAGCATAATGATACATATACACAACCCTGTGTAAAATCTAGTTTGTTCAGAACATTTCTTTCCTCACAGTGTCTCATGGCTATGTAAAAACTGGTCTCTGTGTGCTGAAATAGTCCTGCATCGCGGGATGTCAATTATAAAAAGAGATACAGTGACACCAAAGGGTTTTGAGCTTGTTTATTGTGTTGGCATGAAGGGATTGTTTGATCCTTAGACTTTCCTGGAAATACATCAGAAGTGCAGTCGTTTCTGGCCAGCAACATGCTGAAATGAGCACACAGCATTCCTGCTGCCTCCTCACTGCAATTAGATGAGCTACTGTAACCCCCCCACCACCACCACCTCTGTGTTAAATAACACAATGTTCTCTGCAGAAAATTGTTTATCACTAATGTTAACATGAAAGAAAGTATTTTGTAAATGTGTTCTTTTCCTTTTTAAAGGTTAGTCCATCTACAGTCCTAAAGTTAAATTCTGTTGTTTTTATGTCATAGGCTCAACAGCTACTGGGGAGGTTGATGTGGACATCATCCCTTGTGCCCAGGTGGTCTGTCCTGGAGCATGCCAATATCCCACCATGCCCCTACTCTCAGACTGGCTCCTGCGCCACTCGGTGGTCATGTGTTTGCTGCTGCACAGCCTGGTGCTGATGACCTTTTGCTTCCACCACGCTGCCACCAGTTGTTCCAAGAGCTGCTACTGCTCTGAAAGCGACAGTGGCGGCAAGACTGTGCGCTGCAGCAACCTGCAGCTCACAGAGATCCCCATGGATATCCCCAATGACACACAACGTATCTACCTGGACTTCAACCTGTTCACTACAGTCCCAACCAATGCTTTTGCAGGGTTGCACCAGCTTGTTGAACTGGATCTATCACACAATGAGTTAAGCCAGTTACAGCCAGGAGCATTCAGAGGCCTGGATCCTCACTGCAGTTCCTGGACCTTTCTTCTAACAAGCTGGTTTACTTTAACCCAGATGCTTTTGAAGGCCTGCGGGCTCGCGCCAACCTGACAAACAATCCGTGGCATTGTGACTGCAACTTGCAGATGGCGATGCCTCGTGTGGACTTGGAGCCTGCGTCCTTAACGGGCATTGTGTGCCAGACTTCAGATCCTGAAGAGATAGGAGTACAAGGACTTGCCTTTCTGCTGGCACCAGACATAGACCTCTGTGTGGTGATGAAGAGGACTACAGACGTGGCCATGCTGGTCATCATGTTCGGCTGGTTCTCCATGGTCATCTCCTATCTTGTCTACTATGTCAGGGCTAATCAGGAGGACGCTCGCAGACATCTTGAGTATCTTAAGTCATTGCCCAGCAGACAGGGCAAGTCTGAGGAATCCTCCACCATTAGTACTGTGGTATAGGGCTGATGGAGCTACACACTGATCTTACCAGCAGTACCCCAAACCAAACAGAACGGATCTACAACCTGCAACTACACAAGTTGTTATAAGTCTCAGATACTTTACAGTACAAGCTGTTGTCATGGAATCAAGGTGGGCAACAAGACATGAGCTGCACAAGAAACCAGGCTAATGCAACCTAGCCCAGATAAATAATTCATCATACAGTGGCCCATAACGAGTTTTGTAGGTTGAGATGCGCACAGAGGTAGTTAAAGCAGCAATGTTTTTTTGGTGAACTCCAAATATGGGATACAAATGGGATTTATCCAGTCATGCATGCACCTTGTTGCACCTTGCACAAACAGAGACAAGTAAGGATGCAACATCAGACAGTTATAGCAACTGGGAAAAACCCAGTAAGAATGACGAAACTCACCTTTCAACTGTTTTCCATTAGATACCAATATATTAAATTAAGTTTCCCAAGGAAGTTGTTCTTTTTGGGTGTTTCTCTTGTCTTAACTTAGACAATCACTCAAGAAAGTATTTAGAATCTGAATCACTCTTTAGCGATCGCATATTCAACTCACTGTTGCTGATGAATCAGTTTGCTGTGTGATGAAGGACACATCAGTTTTTTTGTGATGTTTGATAGAAGCTACTGTACAAGAGAGCCATACTGATGAGATCGGCCGTCCTCCAAGCTGCCCGTTTTTGTTAAGAGTGTTTGACAGGAAACTTATGCTAGCCCCAATACACGGTAGAATCTCTAAATGACCTATAGAGCACACAGTACCCTACACGCCACATATTTTGTTCTTAATTTGATATTTTCTTGACATATTTGTCCATTAAATCAATTTAAAGTTACAGTATATAAGAAAATGCATGGACGTGGGATATTGTGAGAGGAAACAAACCAAACTTACTGTCAACCCAGGGTGATAGAAGTTTTAAAGGAATCCTGTTTGTGAACTAATCGAAGCAAACGTAACTAAGACGTGTCTCCCAGGTACAAAAACACTGAATTACTCTTTAGTTTGATATACAAATATGTTAGCATGAATTGTTAGCCTCAAGCCAGTAACCCTGCCCTGTATGCAACATTGTCTGTCAAAAGGTTGAATTGAAATGCATGAAATCAAAAATAAGGGAGAGGGAGAAAGACTTACAAAACAGGGAAACTTATAGTCCTGTATGGGTTTTCCAAATATTATTTATGGGGCCATGACGTACTGATGTATTTCAGAGCTTTAAGGGATGGGGGATCTCCTATTTTACGAGACCATCGCAAAGAGGAAGAAGCACTTGTGTGTCTTCTGATGGAATTGTCAATACAAAACCGAGACCACAGGAAAGGAAATGTATCCTAGCGCTAGACATAATTTAATCCAAATCCGACTGTGCTCTGAGATCTGCTCTCGTCTTTTCTACAGAGCAAAGTGAGAAAAGCCCAATGCACCTTTGAGTAATCTAAATTGATTTTTTAAAACATGAGAAATGGTTTGTCAACAAGGATTTCCCTGTGTCAGACACACAAATGCCTCCGGAGCAGAGAAATACCACTAAAAGATTTATGTTGACCATAAAAAACACTTGAGAAGAGAGTCTTGGAATGCACCCATCATCTTATGTGACCCAGTTCTTGAGGAGAAATTAAAGGGGAATGCCACAGGGGATCAGCTGCCCCCTCCACTCCCTGGCCTAACCTCGCTCGGGTAAAAGCTATTTCCAAATGCCTTTCAGCAGCTGGGTCATGTTCAAGAGCGATCATAGTGGCAGCTAAAGTCAGTTCAACCTTTCCCAAAGGAAGCACTCAGCCTTTAAAGGGATAGTTTGACAACTTGATAAATGCACTCAATTGAGAATCAGCTGAGTTGATACAACTGTAACACTAAATATCATCAATTTAGCATAGCAATGAAACCAATAGAAAACAGCTAGCAAGAGTTATGTAGGTAACATAATCCACTTACCATGTCCCCTGAAGCTTTCTGTTAAACATTTAATGTTTGTTCAAATACAAAGAAAATAAACCACAATTACACATTTTCCTGAACTTGTTTACCAGATATCATGGCAACAAGTAGATCATCTAGACAGTTTGTGCTCCTAAAATGTAACATGTTAGTCATGTTTTAGCTAATAAGTAGAGTATGCTAGTATTCCCTTTGGCCAGTCAGATATACAGTATCACTGTTTCCAGTCTTAATGCTAGGCTAGGCTAAACTAGCTATTAATTAGCCTACAGACTGGAATTCACAAACATGTCAAACAATTTCCATACGTTTTCCAATACACTCCATCATTTCCTTTTAAATGCTCAGTTTCTTTTCCAAGAAATAAAATAAAAATATCTATCAAAATCAAGAAAGATTGTGGTCCCAAATTGTAAAATACCGGTAAAGTGGGTAATGATGTGCTAAAGGACTATGCTATATAGTTAAGCTAGGTTGTCTGGAGACATTTGCAATGTATTCATCTCTGGGATATTTCACAACAAATCACTGTTTCTTTGGGTTTTTTTAAAGCAGAAGAAGGAAATGTGTGCATTTTTTATATTTTTCTAAGCTATTTTCCTTGTGCTTATTGGCATATTGCGCTAGATTTGTTTTTTTGACATGCTTTGTTTTTGTTATCCCTACGTGCAGAACAGTTTTCATGCTCCATAGTTTCTATTGACAGGTTGAGTAGTTTTACAGAAAACAATTATATTGATCTTGACAGAGTTAATCTTAAAGAAACCCAGGTACAACCTCCCATGACGAGCAGGCGGTTCAACAGTACTGAAAAATAGATGGTAAGCCTCTCTCTCTGACATTTCCTGCTACGCACACACACACACACACACACACACACACACACACAAAGTGATAACAGGCTCTCACAGCGGCTTGGAAACCAGCCACTGTTAAGAGAAGCTTCCTGCTAGAGTAGATAAATAAAAACTAGTAACAGGCATTTGTGGTGTGTTTTTCTTACAGCTACTGTATTTGAGTGCTCATATTCTATTGTCCACCTTTAAGTATGACAGATGTGTGTGCATGGCAGGAGTGAGGGTACCACCTCTAGTAATGTAACACCTCTCTCATCGAGCACACATAAATGTAGCTGAGGTTATTTTAAATTTCAGAACAGCTCAGCTTGCCCTGCTAGCTTGGACACGTTACACTGGTGTGAGCATTACAACTGTTGGGTAATGGGACACAAAGTGGGGGATAAGGTGACGCATCCAATCCCACAGAGCGCGGCCCTTTTTGGGGTTGGGTTGCAGGTGAAAATGTTTCCAGGCTCAGAGATCACATGGGGTCTCTCCCAGTGAAGGTCTGTGTGTGTCCGCACCTGATTTCCTCGCCAAAGTTGGTAAGTGACACCAAGGATGCTGCATACGAGTAGAGTGTCGAGTACATGCTTTTGGGCGAGTGTCAATATGTTCTTGTTGGTCTCCTGTATTGTGTCCTCCAGGGGGTGATCTGGGGGCAAAAGACAGACAGAGCTTTTGTAGGAGAAACCCACAATCTTCATTTTGTGTCACACTGCTCCCCCTGTTGTAGAAAGTGTGCAATTGTAAACTTACTGATTTTTTAAACAGATTACCATCAGTCAAACCAATATACTTTAAATACAAATGAACATAGGTATAAAAAAAAATGTGCTTAAGCCTGAAACACCAAAAACACATAAGCACCGCATTTGTAGTTGTATTGCATTGAGCCCTTTTGGACCACAGGGGCAAATTTTGCTTTATTTCTATTCAGGCCCTGGAACACCTGTTCCATCAACCAATACCAGAAACAGAATTAAATACAGCCTAACTTAGATTTGATGTAAGTTAGTTAGCAAATAAAAAACGATTAATATAAATATGTATAACTGATGCATAGCCTTTAAAACAGGGCTGCAAGAAAATCAGAAATAACATACCATTGGTTGTTTTATTGTGTTCTAGTTTAAGTGTAATCTAATAATATCTGCAGGGTTTTATTACAAAGTAAACAGCAATCACGAGACAAAGCCAATAAAATAAAACCCCTAGATTTTCTTTTGTGAAATCGAAAAAAAGAAATCGAAAAACATAACAAATTGTTCTTTATAAATGTCCTGTGTAAATTGGCTTGAAAAGACTAGACATGAGAGGAACACTGATTTATCAAACTCAGCCTATAATGGCATTTTGTGGATTTCAACTTGTGTCATCATCATCATCAGCTGGTTTGGTGTGTAATTGTTCCCTGAGCGATCCCTGCAACACATGTTCCTGTTTAAACCTCCTCCTTCTTCTTCAGGTTTGATTACAGTTTCAACAGTTATCCTCCTGAATGGACTTTTACATCCTATCCAAAACACATTTTGTAATTTTTTTGTTCCATCATTTCCAAAGAAAGAGAACACCTCAGCCTTACTCTCACTCCCCTTTTACTCTGTGAAATCCAAGGAACACAACTGACAATTACGTCTATAAAATGAATCTAACAATGAAACCATTGAGGTACAAGTCATATCAACGTACGTAATCTAAATGTTTCCAGATTTTTGGCATTCACTGTTCTATGTTTGATGTGAATGATGATGTTAATTCTTGTCTTTTTTTTATGGCTGCAGCACAAGTGAAGAGCCCAAGACATTTTTTTCACTTTGGGAGACCAATAAAGTTAATCTTGAATCTTGATTTACCTGCTAGATCCTTGTAGATTAATATATGTTTTCTTTAAAAAGCAGGAAAAAAATGCTCATACTGATCCATTTTAATCATGTTTGTTCTCCTTACACCCAGGTTCTATAAGAAAATCATGTGAGGCCTGATTTTTTTAATTTGAACCCTTTGATCACATTGATTATCTCTGCAGAAAAGTATTTGAAATGCCTGTGAATATATAACTGCAAGTCTACAAACATATTAAATGTAATGGAAATCATTCACCCAGAGAACTGTCAGCTTGTTGCAAAAGTGCTTTTTGACAAGCAGACACGAGGATGACACTGCTGTGGATGAAAGTAAATATCAAAGTGCACAAGTCCTGTTCAAGGTTTTAAAAAGCAGGCCATGCTTGTGCAACCTGTCTCTGCCCAGGCAAAGGCCAGCCAGCACATTGTTCCACCCCTACAATCAAATAGTGTTTCCAACTGGGTCATAGAGAGAGCGGGGCCTCAGCGGTGAATAATGCCCCTCTTTCATGTGCAGGATTGATTGGAGATCAGACCAGTGTGGATTTCAGGGATCAGATTTGACGGCTTCACTTCACAGCCTATCAAGCATGGCCAGATGTAACACAGCTACACCGGCTGATCAAGAGGCCCTCGTGTCAGAGCATGAAGCAAAGCGATCTGCCACAATGGAGGCACAGGAGGTGATTACATAATTCCTACAGCAAAAGTACATGTCTGGAAGTTACAGGGGTTTTTTAAAGGAGGATTTAATAGACATCTTCAGGTGGGTTGACACACTGTGAAATATGCTACTTTTTTAGGTGATTGTAAAAAATAAAAGTTAGTGTAAATATTTAACTATGGTCTTATGCCTGTTAGTTTAGCTTAGCATAAGGTCTGGAAACAAAGGGGAAATAAATAGCCTGGCTCTGCTTTAATCTAAAAAAATGTATGCCTAGCAACATGACTAAAGCTCATTATTCTCTGTTATTTGCCTGAATACCTTAAAGCTACAACATTAGTTTAAGTTTGAATAAAGAAACAAAATACTTTACCAATCACTTAGCTTAAGGCTTCCTGGTTGACCTTATAAGACAGAGAGTCAAGGCATTTTTTCAGGACAAGATAATGTCCTGGCTGTAGTTAAATGTACAGGCATGGGGTGGTTCATCTGGTTTGTTCCATCCATACATAAAATATGCTTTTGTTTGATGGGGGTAATGTAAGGGTTTCTTTCTAAACTGGGTGCAGTGACAGTAAGAGTCCCAGTCAACAGTTATTTGTTTCTGTAAGACAAATATAATATAACATGTTATTGCTGAGCTTTAAGCTAACTTTTTGAAGATGGAGTCAGGCTAGCACTTTTGATGCTAACTACCTCCTATAGCAATATAGTTAGCTAGCCTATATTAGTGAATGGTATAAAAGTTGTAGCAATTTGATGGATTAATGAGTGGACATACTTTATGACACACTTTATTCCACCAGATGGCACTCATGCATCTGAAGACCAAACCAATAAGATGCCCAATAATCTGAACATGTTTAAACATGTTTCTTTATAGCCAGGGCAATACAGTCAGGCATTTGTTAATTTTCACTACCATTTCAGTCATTTTATTACAAATATTTCTGTGTCATTCACAGAGGCGAGAGATGTCTTGAGATGAATTTCCCAGTCAATTAATGACGCAGCAAAAGCCACAAGAGATTGTCCACAGAAACACATGTCCTAAAATAGGCAGGATTACTACAGTTAATGAATGAAAACTTTCGACCAAAATTCCTAGATTTCAGAAAACATAGAGACTACACTCATTAATCACTTTCAATTTCCACTTTCCTCATCCTGCTCTGGGTTCCCCATAGATCTTTATATAGGAAAAGAACCCTTTTTTGTGTAACAAGTCATGCTCACACTCAAACTAAGCGTTGTTACGTCAAACTAGAAAATCACTAATGAAGGAATTTCAGTTTCCAAAATGAAACTCATGAATTATGTTACGCTGAAATACAATTGCCTTTGTGAAAATGGTTATATTTTTACTCTTACCCTTTGAATTTAGTTTTATTTTGGGGTATATTTTTCTTTCAATGTGATTCACTCTGATATATATTTTACTGTTTCAATATTCCCTATTTGTTTAACCCCTTTGTTCGATTTTATGTAATGTTTGGTCATATGTGGAAGATTTAGTTGGGGGAAATTATACAAAAAAAATGTAATGTCATCATTTTGTAAAAGAAAATAAAAATAAGAATGAACAGGAAAAATCACAACATGATTTACGGTAATGCTTAACTTGACAAGCTATTATCGCAAACAGGTTTATTCCACAGATCTGATACCTTTTTAAAAAAGTGACACTTCGATGTAAAAAGTGTGAATTTCATGGAAATGATGGTGTCAGTAAAAATGAGACTTCATTCAGATGAACCAATGACGGGGGAAACCCACAACAAGAGCCCACTATATATAAAGATGCCTTTAAGTGTTCTATAAATCATGGCGAGTTCTCACTTTAGGTCAATACTTGAAAGACATTCCATCAGAGGCCATGCACATCCTGATTGGTGAGTAGTGTTGAGGTAATGCTTGAGTTCTGCTTTCATTTCTGTTCTGAGACTCTGAAGGAGACTGGAGACACATTTAGGATTTGGTTCTTATCTGGGTTAACTAACTGGTATGTCGATAGCAAACTACATTTTTAAGCATTTGGACATTTTTTTAAGAATCCACATTATGTTTATTCTTAGTTGACATCTGATAAAACTGTCTTATTTGCTATTTTTAGTTACTTTTGACTGAGTTTCAGATTACTGTGACTATTCTGAACTCATGCAGCTTCTTAGCCCTGAGGGGTTGGGGGGGTGCATGCCCAATGCTGCAGCACTGAGGAGCTGCTGAGGAGAGAGCAGGGCTTTGTTCTGCCTGACACACACACACACACACACACACACACACACACACACACACACACACACACACACACACACACACACACACACTCACACACAGAGAGTTCGTGGTGCTGGATGTATAAAGAGGATTGTTTTGATGCAAAGACGGTGACGCAGTGGTTTTTCTCTGCCTGCAGTTTTCGTCCTTCCCGTCTACATGGCCTCGCTGGCCCGCAGCGCACCTCTCCCGGAAGAGAGCACACTTGTTGCGAATCTGGAGGTCGTGCAGAGGAGCCGCAGCTTGATACAGAAGATCCTGCTCTTCATTCCCGAGGTGTACGAGTCATGCATTCACATAGAGGTGAGGCACATTCCTGGTGGGTCGCGTTTTGGCGCATTGTTTCAGAGCAGCTCTCTGCGGAGGATTCATGTGAGCAGGTCCGTTTATGAGCCCATAAAAGAGCTCTGCGTGACTGAGTCTGGTAGTCAAATGTGAGCATGTTACTGAGAGGCTGTTTAAGGTTTCCCTGGAGTAACATTTTAGCAATGCAACCACCACTGCGCATTCAACATGAGAAGTTCTATACAACACGTATATAATCTAAGTATACAACCTAAGTATAAAACCTATTTATAGTGATTATAACCGACTTTTAAAGGACAAATGTTTAAGCTGTAGCCTAATAGAGCTATAGAACTGAACCAGGCTTTGAACCTTGAATTAACCAGGCTTTAAACCTTGAATTAATCAGGCTTTAAACCTTGAATTAACCAGGCTTTTCAAGACGAATCGTCCTCTTTCTCAAATGAAGTATCTGTACTTCAATATTTTTATTTTCTGTTACTTTAGAGAAACATGAAATAGTCTGCTAATCAAAACTAGCATTAAGCTAATAGTGCAAAACATCAAAGGGCAACAATTAGGTTTATTATTGTAGGCTACAATGTCCCTTTAAAAATGAAACAAAATAAAAAATACTACATTACATTATTTTCACATTTAAAAGTTACTTCATTAAGTAAATTAAGTCAAACTAGCTCAACAACTATAAAAACATTGCCACTTACAAGTTCATTAATCTTAATTACAATTTAATAACATTAAATTTACAAGCTACATAGTAAGAAGCCTACTACTTTAACTTTTGTATCTTCAAGTTGGATAATAATACTTCAATGAAACTTGTAAATGAGAATAATTCCTTTAAAATGATTCAGAGTACTTCTTATGCCACTACTGTTTTTTTTTTCCAAGAAAGATGTATTTTCCAAAAAAGTCCCATAAGGACAAAACATATTGTCTTCCTGCTGCATGCCAGGCTGTTATCTTCCCATAACATCTCTGTATTCTCTCTTTCACAGACACTGAAGCTTAATTCCTCCGAAAATGCAAAGCTTGGGAGAATGGCAACGAAGATTGGCATCCTCTCTGCTCCTGTCCTCAAATCTCTGTCGGAAAACTTCACTTTGGTGAGCATTTCAAGGAATTATTCTGTTAACCAAGGGAATGTTGAGAAGCAGACACGATCTGAAATCTGACATTCTTTAAATTCATTAGGAGACTGGTTTGAAGCACATGCTTCAGGGTCTTCAGCTACACCGTGCCATGTTGAGCTCAGTCTCAGTCTCTCCTCACCTGGAAAACAAAGACAAAGTGATGCAGCTCCTGGATGACATCAGGGACCTGGCAATTCAGATCAACAAGGTAGAAAACGTCCAAATCTCTGTGTTTTCTTGACAATTGATTCCTTTAAGGGAACAGTTCTAATGTTGTTTGATGTGCCTTCCAGATGCTGAAGGCTGTGGTGTTGCCCTCACCGACCCCTGTGGCCCTGCGTCTATTAGGGAAGTACGATGTTCAGGTGGCAGCACACCTGACTTTGGAGCAGCTCCAGTCCTTCGGGCAGGACATGGTGCGCCTCCTCAGAACTCTGGACCCGAGCAGCGACGAGGAGATGGAGAGCTGACCCCATTAGGAGCCACAATCTGACTTCTTTTGGCTCATGTCAAAAATAGAACTTCACCTGCCATTATTCATTATGGCATTTATTTATTTATCTATCTATCTATCTATCTTAAATTAGTATTTATTTTTTAAATTTATTTATTGAATTATTTATTTAGGTAATGTATTTTTGACTACACTGCTTTTATAAACCTGCAAGTCCTCTTTTTGTTGACAGCTGAGGCAAATTGTTTTTATATAGGTCTTACTATAATTAGGTTGTGGCCCTAACACTTGACTTTTATTGTTTTACATGGCATTGCTTCATTTATTGAATTATAATATAGAAGCAGAAAAGATTTAGAGGCAGCTTAAATAAAGGACTTTTAGACTTCTTTAACCGTTAAAAGGGAGGGAAATAATGTATTTTTAAGGTTTATTTTAGGTCATTGGAGGCACATTGACTAATTATTTATCCGTTGAATGTAACTTGTTCTTGTTGTTTGAATTGTATTTTAAATGTCACTGTACCTGTTTGTTTGTTTTTTCTAAATCATGCAATAAAAAAATCTCTACTGATAGATGAAGTAATTGTCCTTTTTTGTCAATGACTGAACATAATGTCACATCAGGTACATGCTATCAATGATTCAAATCATTTCAAAATTCCAACAAGTTCATTCTAAAAAAAAAAGAAAAAAAAGAAAGTGCAACAAAAAGTGAAAAAGAGGCATTTGTGACTTTTTTCCCCCGGCCACTCTCCCACAGATTTCCTGTTGCAAAGCGGATGACAACGAGCTTTGGTCTGTCAGGGGACAGTCCACGGTCCCTTCTACGTTTTTTCACGTGGTAGTCGCTAGCATGTGATTTTTCTACTGAGTCATAGATTGTGATTGCAGTGGTCAGGTCGTGTGCTATTTTAAACTCAACAGGTGACGCAACCAGAAAATAATCCTTAACACCCAATAAAGAAAAACAAACATAAAAAAAAAATCTGCTTTCTTTTTTTTATTTTTAAAGAAGTATTTACACATTTCTTAAAGAGTGAAAAAGAACATAAAAAACACAAAACTAGGTTTATAGAAACATGGTTATAGATATCATTTCAAATAAAGACAACCCCTTTAATTGGATAATCCAGACACTTTCAGAGTTTTTTTTCCTTTACCATCTACTCTGTTGAAACAGGATGTCAACTTTAACCCACAACGCTTACAAAGCGGAGATGGCTTTAGCAGCGACTCTCCTCCCCAGCGGCAGAGTCAGGTCTGTGATGGCCAGGACCACTTTAGGTTTGGCCAGAGCGGGCAGCTTCACCAGCTCTGAAACCTGGATGCATCATAAAGACAAAAACATACATATGCATTTGTTTTTTCACTTAATGGATAAAATAAAAAGTTCAACAGTATCATGTTACTCAAGGCACAGACTTCTCTGGAAATGATTGGTAGGAGGGCATGTTTGTTCTTTTCCCGGACAAGTATTTAACTCAATCTTTCCTACTGAACTTTACGGAGTCGATGTTACACTTCAACCAGTTCCCTTTCTCTGTTTTCAGTTTGTTCAGTAGTTTAAGCTTTTCTTGTACTTAAAAATGTGTTTGTCTTATTTCATCAAAAACCAAACAAAAAAAACACTAGATTTAGAGATGACTTAATTTCTTTGCAATGCACCATAGGAAGTCAAATGTTAACGGTGTATCCTCATTTATATGAGTTATATCTCATTGCAAAGTGAGACACCCTTGACCCTTGGACAGTCTCTCTCTCTCTCTTTTGTAAATGTATCACTCCTTACAGTTCAGCAGAACTAACGCTTCCCAACAGCGTCTGACGAAACACCCATACTCCTTTCCCTCCTTATCTCCACGTGTCTGTTCTCCTCTCTCCGCTCGTTACTCACCATTGTAAAGGGCATGAACTGCAGGATGCTGCCGCGGCTCCCCTGCTCCAGGCAATCCACACACTCCTCCATAAAACTCTGAACAAACTGGGTATGAGGCCCCGCCATCTTGGAGCCCACGATGGAGGAAATGAGGAGGAAGAGGTTGGCTTGAAGAGAAGAGGACAGGTGGTGTGAATTGTAAAAAAAAAAAGAAGATTGATGTCACCCCAAATGTCATGACATTCTGCTGAGGAGATTGGCAGTTATTAAATATCACCCTGTAGTCTCTGTTGGAGGTTTGGTTATTAAGGATTTAACAGGAAAACAAAACTCACTGAAAGTCAAATAGATGATAATTGTGTAATAGAAGTTGGGAAAAAGTTTGCATCTTAATAAAAAAAGTCTGAACCTGTTTACAGCTACCTTTAATTAAACAATTTTAATAAGATTTTAACTTTTAACACTTTTTATATTTTTACATTATTTACTTCAATTAATTTCATTGGAATTATTTTTATTTGAACATATTTTCAGATTTAATAATTTCAGTGATTTTTAAATGTTCTATTTTAATGTTTATTTTCTTTCCTCTGTCATGATGCTTTTTCATGTCTTGTGTGAAGCACTCTGAATTGCCTTGTTGTTGAAATGTGCGACATAAATAAACTTGCCTTGCCTTGAACTTAGCCTATAATTCCATGACAACTATTTAAATACATATTACTTTGGATGATGAACAGGACTTGAACAGAATAAGATCCTGTGATTCATGCTCATTTAACTCATTCATAACTTCACCCTTGATGCCTTGTATGAAAGCATCAAAGTAAAAAGAGTTTTTCACTTGTTCACCGACAAGAGTCGACATGTGTATTTCATTTCTTTGTGCCTGACGCTGGCAGAGTGGACTGACATGAGTTCTTACCCAGGACTCTGTTGAGGGGGTCCCTCATGTTGACAGTGTGGAGCTGGGAAGCAGAGAGGGAACTGCTCATAGATCGGTCTCCTGTGACATAACAAGTGAAGACTTTTTGTTAGTATTTTTTTCCATATCAGAGCAACAGTAATGCTTTTAATAGAGGACTCAAACAATGGCTAAAATCAAAACAACAGTGCTCAAATGAATAAACTTGTTTATTGTTTGATCATGCTGCCTTTATTCTATAGTTTATGAGTATTTATTTATTCTCTCCTTATTGTTTCTCTGTGTTTTATTGCTTTTCTTCCTATCTAAATTGTTTTCCTTTCAAGCCTCCTGTGGACAGGTGTTGAGAACTAGCATGCTTGCTAAAACACTTCAACAATGCATCTGGTTCATCCAATGTATCTGTGATGTCCATGCCAAATAAAGTCTATTATTATTATACGAGAGCCACAGCAGGTAAAACAACTTAACAAGGGAGTTGAAATGATCTGTTAAGAGTCCTGGTGTTTAAAGGTGGTGAGAGTCTCCCGCTGCCTTCTTACACAATCCTTTCCTTCTCATCCAAAAATAAAAGGAAGTTATCTTAAAGATGAAAGGCTGGATTTGTTTTCGGTCAGATATTCTAAACACCGTCAGCTGTAACTCATTTAGTAACCCACTTCTCACTAGAACTTTTAAGAGCTGTTATCTGTCGGTGAAAAAGAACCAGTGTTAGTTTCAGTCTGATGAAAAGAAGATGATGCTTTTTTTATTTTTCCTCTGAGTCATGCAACACTTAGATCACTGGCACCATGTGACGGAAATACTTTGTGAAGTTGTTTATGTGGAATCAACAAAAGGCAGTTTTCCCAATGCCAACTGCTAAATTACATCATCGAGGCTTACCGCACAATACAACACCATTATGACTGTAATCATCTGAACACACAACATTATTTCTCAGGAAGACTTTAGTGCTCAACTGAGCCAGCAGACAATGTTGTCAGATGTTGAGAGGGACCAAACTGGTTTATTTGTCTCTGAATGAGCTTAACCATCTCATTGCTAACAGAGTATTTGCTTTTTAAAACCATGTGGTATTTGCATAATCCCCAGCTCAGACTGACTGAAAGGCCTCTGGGTTCATAATTAAAACCTTGCATTAAAAAAAACCCAGAGATCAATAGACTGACCTGGACTGGAGAGGGCTACTGGCTCGTCCTCGTTGGAGCTGAGCAGACGCATGAGTTTAGACGGCTGAGTGTCGTCCAGGGGAAACAGGCTGTTGTAGTCCTGTGGCCGAAAAACAAAACAACATTTATTGTTATGGTGATTACTCCTTTTTCCATTTCCCATCTGCACAGCTGTCCCAAGAGTCAGGCTCTAGTTGGACACTTTAATGATAACCTAAATTATTTAAATTTAAATCGCACCTTTAATGTTTGCATTGACTGTTATTTAATGTCTGTTTTTTGATAATTTTCTTCTTTTTAAACATTGCTACACTTTTTTGATTCATCTAGGGGTATTCTTTAAATCTTTTTTTCAGGTTAATATATATGTATGGGGGGGTGTTTTGTGGTTAATTTGTAACAAATGTTTCATGTCATGTACGTCTTTGTAACCTGCTACTGGATGCTTTGAATTTCCCTCGGGATCAACAAAGTATCTATCTATCTATCTATCTATCTATCTATCTATCTATTTTTAGTGTCAGCATCAATAAACAGGAATTAGATCACAGAGTCACTATTTCCTCATGCTAATAATAGTGTTTTCAGGAGTAATGTACTACCCAGCCTTAATGACACAAACATGGCCTCGTGAGTCTGTCTTACCTCAATGTCTTCTCGCTGCCTCTTGCGCTGGCGTGCCGAGAACGAGCCTTTGTGGTGAGAGGAGTAAGAGCTGAGCGCACACCACACAGACAACCTGATGAGTAACAAGGAGATTAAAAAGTTATCCATCCCTAAAAACCAAAAGCTCTCAAAGGACTGTTGTATTTTACACGCCTGTCTTACTTGGCCAGCGCCTTCCCAGGGGGGTCTGCCAGGCTCTGCCAGTGGGCGGAGTCAGTGAGCAGGTCAGGCAGGATGGTCCCGAGCAGGGTGAGGGTGATCTGCTGAGTGTCCAGGCAGAAGATGCTGTAGAGTAACTCCACCACCCGATTGGCCCACTCCTGTCGAGTCTCCTTCAGCAGCTCCTGAATGAGACGAGATAAGTCATGTCGAGACTTCTGGAAGAAGAGCGGCTTGTTTTAGAATCATCAAGCACGAGCACAATCATGCATGGATGCTGATGCTGAGAAGAGTGCTGCAGGGATGGCAGCAGATATGGATTCAAAACACTCAGGTTGGATATTGTAAAGATATTGTGCTTTTGGAAGGGGGAGGGGCTCACGGCAGCACCCGCTGCTCGTTGAGGACAGTAACTGCAGAGCAATACGTGCTTTCACGAATGCGCAGCAGTAAGCAACATACTAGGCTCGCTCACGATGGAATTTTACAAAATAAAAGCCAGTGAGCAACAGACCTTTACAATAAGAAAATAAATAATAAAAACTGCGTTAATGAGAGATAAAATAACTGTTGGTGATAATTAATTATTGAGTTAACGCGAAAATAACGCGTTAACGTGCCCAGTCCTACATTACATAAATGTATTCATCAAAGGGCCACCCAGACTGCTTTGTAGTGGTGTTAGGAATAACTGCATTGTTGAAAATGAAAACACACCCCTACGATAAACCAGTCAAGAGAACATTTGTTAATGGTGTTTCGCTCACAAATCCAAAAATCCCAAAAAAGGAAAAAGTGCATGAAAGGAATCACATCTACCCTCTCTTACTGGGACTGAAAGTAAAGGTAAAGATACATTTAGAGATCAAATATATTGATAGCAAAACCTGTAGTGACAGCTTTAGAATGAGTTTGAACTGGATTATAAAATATGTTACCAAACAGGAAGCATAATCTTATCTTGTGTACATTGTGTTTACAAGTGTCGACACAGAAACTCATTTTGGCCATAAATGTTTGACTATTAACACTCTTCAATTTTAGGTTAGTCGAGTATGATAGAAGTGTGAATCCCTGAAGTTATACTTGTAGTAGCTATAAATGTTACAGCTTCCTTAAAGGCTTTATATGTGATTTTTCACACTTAAATATAATATAAATCAAGTATATCCTCTGAAAATAACTCTGTGAGTCATGACTGTCTACAATGGGTGTAACACCCGAGTCCCACTGTCTGTGATGTTTTCAGAGTTTTCAGAGTCCTATCTTCACTTTGTTTACATCGCCAGGACGGCCAGCTGACTCCTCCCCTCGTGTATAAAAGTTGTTTAATTGAGGGACTAGAGAAAAGAAGAATAACATACTGTACTCACTGCTTAACTGTGTTTCTAGATCACGCTCATTTCAGGTAAATTTACATGCAGTGTGAAGATACGAGCATAATAAAGATCACTAGCATTAGCATGCTAACACAACAATGCAGTGTGAGTTGTTTTGGTTTCATGCTGGTGCTCAAGGGCGACATCTGCTGGATCAGAAAATCACATATAAAGCCTTTAAGTGTGGTTACTGCTTTTCTTTCTTACACTATGTTACACTGAATGTCTTCCCTTAGCTTAGTCGACTGTTGATTTTGATCCTGAAATAATCAGCATCTGTTTCTTTTTTTCTTTAAGGTTTATTTTCAGGCCCTTTACACCTTTTTTTTTTTTTACAGATAAGACAGTGGAAAGAGTCAGAAATCAGGGTGGGTGAGGACCAACATGCAGGAAAGGAGCCACAGGTCTGACCCAGGTGGTGGTGGGGGGGGGGGCACCAACCACTACTCCACCTACCGCCCCCCATCACCATCTGTTCCTGTTCCTCCTACCTTGACCAGATTTTTGGTGAACCAGAAGACCCCTCCCATGTTGAGGAGACTCTCAAACAGATGCAGGGCCCGGCTGTCCACCCAGCCTTTCCGCAGCACCGTCTGGAACTGCTTGCTGAGGGCCACGTGGATGGGGTCTTTAGCCGGCAGCAGGTTACGGTACGGGATGGGCTCCTGGCCCTCCATCGGGGGCCGCATGGTCGCGGCTGTTTGTTGGAAGACGTCGGCGCACATCTGCTCCATGATGGAACTCATAATGATGACTCTGCAGAGGAAGTTAGTAGAGGAATGGTTTAATGATTTAATGATTTAATCCAAACTCTGCCCCCCTACCAACTGTTCAGATTAAATTGAGGGTCCAGGGATCAAAGTAAGATGATATCTAAAGCCTCATTAATACATTAAGTGACATTATGTCATCATTTGTTTTATGCCCTGTTGTTTATCATTTAAAAAACACTTCTGAAAATCTTCATTGATTTTCATTTGTTCTTCTGATTTTATTTCCCTCATTCCCTCTATTTATTTGTATTGCTATTATAACTTTTTAAATACTTTGATGAATTTCATTGATATCTTTTATTTCTTCCAGTGTTGTATTTCCACATTATGTTATATTATATATCTATATTTCTACTGTCTTTCATTGCTCTTACCCTTTTTTTTCTTCCTCTGTGCTGAACTTTGTACTTCTTGAGTTCTCTTGTTTTAAATGTCATTTGAACCTTTATATCTTTGGAAGTCGGACTGTGTCTGGCCTTGTTGTTTGGCCTTGTTGTTTGGCCTTGTTGTTTGGCCTTGTTGTTTGGCCTTGTTGTTTGGCTTCTTCTTGTTTATGGCTTTTTTTAAATGTCTAATCACAAAAAAAAACTAGTTAAAATACTTTGACCACACATTATCCAGACATTTAACAGAAAACAATCAAGCCTTTTGAAATGAAGAAACGAATGGACAAACGTGTATTAAAAAGGTAAACACTTAAACCATTCACTTGTTGCTAAGTTTGCTTTTAGAACCACACACACACTCTTTTCAAATGAGAATACAAATAAAGATTGAATATAAAAAGCACTCAGTGCATTATCCTTGATTAAATATTCTCTACAAAAATGTATTAATGATTTGAACACTTGTTAATAGTCTTGGTATTGTTCTAGATGTATTGTAAATATATTAGTCTTATTCACTTCACTACTTATTTGCTTCTTGAATACATGTTATTTTATTTATTGAGCCTTGCTGCTGCAACGCCTGAATTTCTCCTCTGGTGTCAATAAAGTATTATCTTATCTTATTGTTCTATGAAACTTTCAATTGAACATTTAACAGCAGGTTCAGTGCTAACTGTCTTTTGACCCTGAAATGAGGGAAACTCTGGCTTTTCCATTTCAGAGAGGGAAGTCACTCAGCAGATTTTGAACCCGGTGTTTCTCTCCGTCTCCTCCGGTTTCATTTCCTCCTTCCTTCACTGGTAATATGATAAATACTAAATACACTACAATCAAACTTACAGGCCGACTGGAGCAGCAATTTTCTCTCACACCGCTTCTCTCTGCTTTGGCGATTCATCAGTGTGGAAAAAAACATGATCATACTCGTCGAGTGTCCGCATGAGGATTTCTAGTTTAGAGGGTTAAAGTAAGAGGGCCTCTTTTTGTCACCTGTTGCCATGGGGAATCGTAGTATAGGGGCTTCATTAATGTTGTCTTGTCTAAACCTAATCAGAGTTGATTGATTGAACTCAAATCAGCTGTTCTGGAACCAGAAAAATCAGAGCTTCCCACCTGAGGGTAAAATTCTAGGGTTAGACACTAGAATGCCCTAGGCCACAGTTACACTCAGTGTAAGCGGCGTGTATGTGTAAGTGTGTATGTGTTGGTACCGTTCATTGTAAAACTGCAGAGTGTTCTCCCCATACAGCGGGGTAACGAGCTGCCGGATCATAGTCTGAGGCTTCTCTCGCTCATCTCTTCCCAGCATTCTGACGTGGGCCACCAGCCACGCCACCGCACAGATAGCCATACTACACACCTTCCCCTTGATGTTGTCTGTGATTTTCTACACCCACAGAGAGAGAGAGAGAGAGAGAGAGAGAGAGAGAGAGAGAGAGAGAGAGAGAGAGAGAGAGAGAGAGAGAGAGAGATGGCAGCAGTGAGAAAATAAAGAGGAAGGAAGGATGTGGTTAGATTATGTAGAATGGTCAAAGGAGAGAGGATGATGACTAAACTGCATCCTTCCACTTTCCGTGATAGAAAAACTTGGAGTGGAGTTTGGCGCGTCATTGATGTTGCAAGTTATTCACACATTGTTGTACGTCAACATCCTATACGTCATGCGCAAACCATGGGTAATGGGTCAAACCACAAAAAAAACTGTATATCTCTTAGACATGTTCAGTCATGCCAGAATGTTTGGTGATTCCAGTCACAAAAGGTCAAAGATATAAAACTCTGAAAGCAGTTTAGACAGACCTGTACAGCTTCCACAGAAAGAACCCCGTTCTCCCACGCATTCAGAACTTCCAAAATGGCTGCTGGAGTGCTGAGGCAGATTTCATGCCATTTCACCTGACTGTTCCATCAGAAACCCGTCAAAAGGAAAACACCATATTTAGAGAACTCATGGGTATCAGTGGGAATATTCATGTCACAAAATATATAAAATAAACTCCACAGTAGAGCCTGACAGATGAATCAGCCGGCCAATATTAGTTTATCACTTGACCATCAGTATTGACTAATTTTATCTCTGATATTTTCCGGTATAACTCGGTTTATTCAATTACAGTTTATTTATTTTAATAAAGTTTATTTTTATAATTGTTAATTTTTAAGTAAATTCGTGTTTCAGTACACTTTTGTTATACTGGCCAATAAAGGCTTTTGTTCAACTATAAAAAAAAAAAGCTTGTCTTCATTATAAATTGTTTGACATCTGCATTTGAGAGATCAGCACAATAAATGTGTTTGTATATCTATATCAGAGCTGTCACTCTGATGAACACTAAGCAGTCACAGAGTGTCAGACCTGTCTGACTTGTGGAATAACCCTTGATTCAAACGGTCACTGTGAATGTACATATACGTAAATATTATTAAATTTAAATGCTCAATATATATATGCACACTTATTTATGTAATACTGAATACTAATAATGAATCCATCTGTCACATAACTACATTTTACTTCTCATGTTACTTCAGCATCTTTTGCACTATTCACCACTGCACTGTTTCATATTTAGTCATGTAAATATTAGTCTTTTCTGATTGTGTTTATTGTTGATATTTAATGTTGTACCTGTACATAAGAGAGTACACTTCACCTAAGTTAAATTACTTGTGTGTGTAAGCATACCTGGACAATAAATCTGATTCTGATTATGTCTATCTATCTTTAAAGATCTGAGAAAAGTATTGGACAATATATCAGTATCAGATATGTTTTTTTCAGATATCGGTAACATTTAAGCATGCAACTTACACTAGTTTCATCTCGGAGGAGTTGTTCAGAAGGGTGACCAGGCTCTCCACTTTGCCGGGCTCTGGTCTGAAGCAGGGGTGGTCCGGGTTCAGAGTCTTGCCCTCTTCAGGCATACATGTCTGCAGCCATGTTTCAAAGAAGGGCGTCTCTCCTGAAGGGCTGGGGTCTGACAGGATCACCTGGTGGTAGGGGGGGGGGGGGGCATTATTATTGCTCCAATATCAGCAGGCAGAGATGCTGCAGAAAAAGTCATGTCACTACTGCACAGCTCTCTCTGGACATCTTGTGGCCGGACACAGAAAGAGCAGGCTCGTGTAACCTGAAACATCATGATGCTCTTAATTTTCACAAGTTTGAAGCTCCACTAACCTCAGATCCATAAGTCTGCACCACATGGCAGAGCATGAGGAAGGAGATGTCGAACAGCAGGGCCCGCACTGATGCAGATTTGGCTTACAGAGAGAGGAGGGGGGAAAACCCAGAATGTTAGTATCTCATTCAATAAACAATATGTCAAGAACCAAAGACATTCCCACATGGGAACTTGTCACTCTTGTATCTGAACTCACATCCTTCACCGCTGATGTGCTTGGGAAACTCGTTGAGCCTAGAAGAAGCAGGGGGGAAAACACGCATCTGGTTAAAGATCCATTTGCTACGTCAACCAGAGTTTTCAACCGGGGAATTAAATGGTATACAAGGCATTTGATGAGTAATGATTTTTGTGATGAACTCACTTAATAAATTTCCGAGCAAAGGATTTGAGTTTCCCAGTAGCCGCTGCTGCTGCTAAGAGCAGATCCAGGCTCTTTCCGGACAACATGTGTCCCAAGACCCCCAAGAGGCCCTCAGGGGACTTAGAGTGGTCTGCATCTACCGTCTGTCAAACAAGAGAATAAAGATGTTTTTTTTTTTAAACAATGCATTCCTCTTAGGAAGCATTTATAACATTTTCCACTTTCATTATCTTCTTGTTGTTACCATACCAGAGACTTTCAGTTCTGAACATTTTTTATAAACATCTTCTGCAAACCTGTCCCATTTTGTAGAGCCACTTAGGATAAACACTGTAAAAACCAGACCATAAATACACTATGACAGTGAGATCAGGTGTTCTACCTTGAGGATATTGGTGACAGTGGGCTCAGCTCTCAGGATGAGGCCTGGGTTGGGCTGGATGTTTGCATTTTCGGCCGTCTTTTGCTTTGGGGCATACTCCCTGTCCCCAGTCCTGAATCAAAAGTGCAGGGGGGGGGGGTAGAAAGGGAGAAGAGAGAAAGACAAAAAAGGGAGAGAGAATGGGGGCAAGGGATACGGTGTATTGTGTCAATATGGGGAACAAAATCAGTGATCATTTAAATAGCAAGAAATTCGTTTTTCATTATTTTTGTTGGTCTGTGTGTTTGTAACTTTTCTTTTCCTCAGGTTCTCTTTGTCAGTGTGTTTGTTGTAAAATGGAAACCCGTACCGTTTTGAAGTGAGGCAGGCTGTGTTCGAGTCTGACAGCAGACCAAGCTTGTTACACTCCTGCAGGAGCATGCCGAGGCAGTCGCAGCTTTGTGAAAAAACAACAACAAAAAAAAGAATAATAAAAACAAAGGAACATGACAAGTGTGATGGTGCTGGCTCACCAGGGATGTTCTTGCCCTTTCTTGCATTGAGATAACAGTTGAGATGGCTGTTAGAATAAAACAGAGCACTTACTTGCATCTCTGATCAGCTTTGTCCAGAAGTGGTGTTAGTTTGAGTAAGTATTGAAATGCAATGTTCACATCCTCCATGAAGTCCTGGTGGGGAAAAAAACACACTGTCTTTAAATAACTTTTCTTTTTAGACCATGACTACATAGAGATACCAAATACTGGTGATGTTGGATGTGCAGGTTCAGTGATCAGTGAGGGGGGGGAGATGTTTCACCTGTCCTTTGTCACCCTGAGGATACTTCTTAAGTCGCAGAAGAACTTGTGGAATCTGGCAGAAAGAAATAAGAAATACAAAACAAAGTGTGGTCAAGTTACATGTGTGCTTTTGTAATTCTGTTATTGGTATCTAAAGCTCCAGGATGGAATAACATTTGATTATTAAATATTTTTGTAATTTCATCATATTCAATACATTAGTAACTGTGTGCTGCTATAGAGGAATGGGAAACACCATTAAGTGGAAATTTTACAATCAAGAGTTTATCTATGACTTATATGTTGTTGTCTTTATGACCTGTGTGTAATATCGCAATGTTTGTCTTTTTTAACAAATGTACAGTGTCTTTGAGTTTTTGAAAAGCGCTTCTTAAATAAAATGTATTATTATCATTATTATTAAGAGTAGGCCTGAGCAAAAAAGAAAGACAAACCAGAATAATGAGAGGCATCCAGAGGGTGCAGCCTATTTTTTTTTTTTTAAATGGATCTTACCTTGAGGAATGTGAAGGCGGTCCATTTGAGCTCCTCTGTGCCCTCTGGTGACTCGATGAGGCCGGTGAAGCAGGCCTTCCAGATCTCCAGGACAAAAAGAGGAGCAGGAATTTGCTGCAGAGGACAGACAGTTTGTGAAGCTGCTTAAAAAAAAAGACTCTTAATAATAATAGATTCACAACTTCATATTAAGCTGAGCTAAATAACGATGTTGTGTGTCTTGCCATTATTACCAAGACACACAACACCGGTTGCGCTGATTCAACTATGAATCGTGCATCATTTACAAACGTTATCTGCCCAGTTTCCCAGTCCTATTCTTAACGCTTGTCGCACTCATGATATTCAAACACGCCCAAACACGCAGTTTTGTGCAGCTGCGGGTACATGTAACCCTTTGAATGTACTTTATAAATAAGAAGGAATATGTTTGACTTTAAGGCACGGGTATAGCTGCCTCAAAAGCTGCACAATTCACTGGGCCCGTCGGTGTACAGTTCCCTCCATCACACTTAACTTCCCCTGTTAGTTTTAGTCTGAGTCTTCTGGATTTTCAAGGTAGATTAAGCATGACATCACTCTGCAGCTAAATGTTCACCTGCATTCTCTTAATCATCATCAGCTGTTCCACGAGTGGCTGTGTCTCGCCTGTCAGATTCATGGTCCCTTCCAGCATGATGAAGGCATGGACAGATGGGAAAGAGGCATGAAACGGAGGGTCACACTGCACAGATAGCATTGAGGGAATGCTGTTGGATTAAAAAAAAAAGAAAAAAAAGAATAAAAAAGTTAGCACGAGGAAGATTCATTATGATGGTATTTGTCTTAGTAAATTGTAAAGTGTAGGCTGACCAGCATCCTGCTTTTATTGACTATCTTGTGTATTAAAAATCTAAGAAAGGGATGGTGGGAATCTTTACCCTTGAACTAGTGACAAGCTCTCCTCTAGTTTGGTTCTCAATGTCTGGTTCGGTACACTGCTGAGGCCATCTGTCACTTTAAGCATTGACTGCTCTACATTGCTCCAGGAACCTGTGAGGGGAAAAGCAGCAAGCAGAAACATTGAAAAGAAAGCCGGTTGGCAAAAATCCTTCTTTATCTGATTTTACAGGAACGTATTCATTTTAAAATAGAAGATTTACATGCAATGTAGATGGTAAACGGTAAATAAACTTGAGCTTGTATAGCTCTTTTCTAGTCTTCTGACTACTCGAAGGCTTTTACACCGCATGTCACACCTACACATTCACACACTGATGGCTGAGGTTTCTATGTAAAGTGACCATAAATAATTCCATTCATACACAATGATGCACTGTCAGGAAGAAAATTGTGGTCAAGTGTCTTGCTCAAAGACACATCTGACATGTGGCTGCAGGAGCTGGCAATCAAAACCTCGACCTTACGGTTAGAAGACGACCGACTACCAACTGAGCCACAACTGTTCATGGAAATACTTTAATTTTTTTAGACTCTCTTACAAATACAATGAGTTCACTCAGCAAGGGAGAACATTTTCATATAGATTTGGATACACACACACACCTTGTTCCTCCAGCCTGGAGATGTGGACCAGGGCTCTGTTCTTGTTGCTGCTCATCAGAATATGAAGCCTCTCCTGGCAGGCCCTCAGACTGGCCTCTGTGCTGGTTGATGGACCCAGTTCTCTCAGCTTCTCACAGTACCAGGCACAGCCCTGCAGCAGCCAAACAACCACTCCCAGCAGAGCCCGACACAGCCCAATGCATTCCTCTGCTTTCCCGTGACAGCTTTGGAGTCAAAGGTAGTTTAGGTGAGGGAGAAGATTTTTGGCTTTTGAAAACAGCGCTCAGATTTTGCCTTAGGTGTATAACCAAATATCACATGCTCAAAGATAACTGCTCATTAGAGAGTTAAAGTCATGCAGCTATGACCGACAGCTATTATTCAAAGGCACAAGTACGGTGTGATTTTAAACTAAAGATTAACGTGTGAAACGAGCCTTATTTTTACTAATAAATGATCACTTCTTCTGATACTGAGCAGCTCATTAAAAGCATCATTCTGGTTAAAATGCATGATATCCGAGAAAGGAGTAATAGGATGATAAAAACATTATCTCGTCCATTTCCATCCAACATTTCTGATTTTAGTAAAGAATATCCAGGATTGCATCATTCAATTATTCAGAAACAAAAGGGTTTAAAATGTCTTGCCATACAGAGAATGAAAAAACTGTAGGGAATAATTTCACATACCTGAGACGATGGCAAAACATGTCCATTATTTCCAACAGCGATTCAACACACAGCTCCCGAGAAAAATCGTCAAACTATCAGAAAAGAGACACATTCATAAACACCCTTCAGCTAATAACAAAATGCATAATGCCATCATTTTCCACCAAACATAACTCACCTTGCTGATGGCCATAAGGACACTGGAATAAGACACCATCTAAGTAGACAGAAGGTATTGTTTACTTCTCACAATAAAACCCCCCCAATAATGTTCAAAACACTGCTGCACAACTATTTGACCAAAACTTTCTCTCTCTTACCTGAGAACTTATAGCATATTTAAGGTATGACAAAATAAGAGGGTTTGGAGAGGGACCAATCATTGCCTGTTCCATCAGGGCCTCTGGAATAAAGAAAACAGAATTCAGAGCCCTGACAGAGGGGACAGCAAGACACCTGGTGTTAGTTTGCATGATGGTTGGGGAACGCCCTGTCGTTCCTCTGACCTGCAAGGTTGAGGTAGTCCCATGTTGCTCCCTTTGGAAAGTTTTTCTTGATGTTGATTGCCCATTGGTAGTCACTCCAGCGCTCCTTCCATGCCTGCAGTATGGCTTGCTTCAGATTGACCACCTTCATCCTGAAGAAACGAGAAACACTTTCAAAGCGATTTATTTTTTTAAGGCACAATCATTAACATATTTTTTTATTGAATAGGATGTATTTCAGCTTTATTAAAGTACGTTAGTCATATTATTTAGCTGGCTGACGTTAGCCAATTGCTAGCGATGTCATTCAATAAGTAATTATTTAGATTAATTGCTGGGTAATAAAACCCTACAAAAGCAACAGCCAACATGCTAAAATTCATTAATTTGGTATTATATTTCATTTTGAAGCTTACCTGGCTTTAACAGTTTTTAAAAACAAAAAATATATCTTTTTGAAGCTCCTCTACGCTCACAAAACAAAGAACGCCATTTTTCTGTAAATAACCTGATTGTTCATTGGTCACTCTCATCACGCCGTAGTATGCTCTCCGCTGATTGGTTGGAGAGGGGACCACAGGCTCAACACTGAACATTAGCGTAATAACGAAGTAGCATCAGAAGATGTCGCACTTTAGCTTTGAGTTTAGAGGCTAAGAGGAGCTGCTAAGCATTTTAATGTCAGAGAGGTGAGCAAAATCTAAAATGTTGGACAAATGCTTACAACTCACCGAACAGTTACTGAAAGTCCATGCAGGCAGCTTTCTCTCGTAAGCTTGAACGTTAAAAACATTTAGTTCGTGTTAATTTAAAAAATAATTTTGCTGAGAAAAAAAAACGTCGTAACAGCAAACGAGCTAATGTATTTTTTATTTTTCATTTTTTAAAATCTATTTGTAGTATCTATCTATTTTTTTATACATCCTTATTTTTTCTTTTTTTATTTAAATTGTACTGTGTTCACTTTTTGTTTGCAATCTTTGCTCTTTGCTGCTGTAACACTGTACATTTCCCCGTTTTGGGATAAATAAAGGATTATCTTATCGTAAGCTAGCTAAAACACAAAAAAACCCATGTATATTTATTAATATTTTCAGGTAAATTGCCTCAGTTGTTTAAAGTTTGAAATAGCTTCGATTTCATTTTGATATTATCTGTTCCACGATAGCATACAGTGACGGCTTTGTTGTATTATGTAACCATCCCATTCACTGTGTGATTCAGTGACTCACTACTGTTTCAGTTATCTTTGTGTGTCAGTTCAGTCCTTTTCAACAGGGCTTTTGTCTCTTATGTCACACATTAGAGAAAGAAAAAAGCAACAATAATAAGAATTTGCTTGGACACAATCAATATAGTTGAAATAGATAAGAAAACAGAATTTAAGTCAGGACTAATGCAGAGTTGGGGTTTAAACTTTTAATGTGAGGTTGGAAAACAAAATTACTAATCCACAGTTAGCTTTAAACAGCAGTTACTGTTTTAATGCACAAAATATAGTCCAACATGGTCTGCAGATTTGTTTTTTGTCTTTCCAGGTTTGCAACAAAGGATGCTGTGCTCTATATCAAATCAACCTGTCTACCTCTGAGAGTGAAGGACCTGCATTGAATCTGTGGTTACAAAGACATCATTCTGCCAAACACTGGAGATGTTGTCCTGGCTTAGAGCTGGGTCTGTACCTAGGGACAGAGTGATGCCAGCCTTGAGATGATCCGCGCAATCTCGGAATGGTCAAGGTAGGCCACAGACAGAGGAACGAAGTGGTTGATAGGTGCATGTGTGCGTGGAGATACTCTGGGAGATGTATCCCACTCCTGTTGATTTCCACTGCAAACCGCATTAGTGAAGGGTGCTGACAGATTTGAGTCTACTCTGGGGAGACGAGAGAGACTGCTCTGCGTCTGTTCTCATGACTTCACTGCTGGGACAGTCCCAGTTTTGCTGACTCTTAATATTCTTTTCAGTTACCTTGTGATTTGATGAGTTTTGAAGCTCTTGAGTGTTGCTTATCCCATTAAAACTGAGCTCCCTGTCATTGTTTATGAGACTCAAAAGCCCTCCCAATATGACCTTGAAGTGAAATTTTAAATTCAGGACTTAGTTTTACAGAAGGAAGACACTTTTCCAACCATGGTATTATAAGTATTTGATAGAGATGTTTATCATTCTCCCAAATGTTGCACCACAAAATACCTCTGAGCTCAACTGCAGCCAGCAAAACAGCTATCTTCAAACCCTTAGCAAATAACACTGAAACTATGTGGAGGGTGTTTATTGTTTTGTTTGCTGTTGCCGGGTTTTTCTTTTAGTAATGAATTCTATTAATCAAACCCATCAGTAGCTTACCTATTAAACAGTCCAAAGATGATTTTTTTTATGCTGTTAATGTAACTAATATTTCTTGGCTTTTGCCTCTGAGTATCTAAAAATCTGTTACCCATTCTCCAATACATAACCTCCCTGTCTTTCCTTTTTTCTCTCTTCCTCTTAAACACATCGAGGGCCTTTGGGCATACATTGGTAATTACCAAGGGTTGGGAGCCAGGAAATGAGAGTGGCCCCCTCACGTCCCCTCAGGTTGTCTTTTCATGTTGCTTCATGAATCAGGATAGACCAAAGGCAACTACTGTAACCAGGAAAAGATAAGGCACATAATGTCACACCATTCTTAAGACTGCCCACTGCCCCCTTTCTCATGTTAGAGCTCCCAGTAAAAGTCTTGTCATGGGACACAGAGTCACTAGTATTAGACTGAGAAAATGATTTTAAGAATGAAGAACATCTAGTTCTACAGTTCACTTAGCAGACGCTTTTATCCAAAGTGACGTACATCAGAGAGTAAATACAACACAAGCAAGGATCTAGAAAAAAGGGAACAATGTCAGTAAGAGCAAACGATCAGCTTTGAGTCTGATTGGACACACAGGTGCTGACAGGAAGTGACCAGAGGCAAAGCACAACATTGAGGGCAGTTCTTGAGAGCTCTAAACAGTATAGAAACCATCTTATAAGTCATCGTTATCAAACAAAAACAATCGTCATCTAGTTGATAAAAAAAACTCATCTAAAGCCTTAAAGGAACACATCGAGCACTATTCTAATTGTTCAAGTACATAAACTGAGTTTTATCAATCTGATTTGTTATATCTGAACCTGAATCAATCCATACATCAGAGGTCTAATTAGCTAAGTGGGAACACCTGTGTGAGTGTGCTGGCCTTGAACAGTTAGAATCAGTTTTCGTTTTTAAATAGATAGCCTAGCTTGGTACCTAGTTCTAGACAAACTTTAACTCTACATAGCGTCTCTAAAAAGAGTGGTCAGTCCGCAATAGCATGGTCGTTTGTACTATTAATTTTAAGATAATACTTGTTGTGGGGGTCTTTTTACCAGCCCACATTTTGGCTTGTCATAGCAGAAACAGCACAGATTATACCAATAACATGAACATTATGATGCTGCTATTTTCAAGTGGCCCATTTTATTTAATTAAATAAATGATATGATGGTGTCATCAACCAAGGCTGCTGCATTCATTTGTAGTCTTTTGAGTTGTACTCGAGTTGCTGCTGACATCACCAACGGGCTCTTGGACAATTACATGACAAGACAAATAAAGGTACAAAGACAGGACTGTTCAATTCATGCAACAGACTACAAAACATGTCTCAATCACTCCCATCACACTTAACGACCTCTATCTATGAGGCTTTCTGTTGTCTCAACAGCTCTCCAACTCATCAATGCTTTATATTAATACTATCTCCTTTTTTTATTTATTTAGATTTTTTTTAAATCTTGACTGTCTTTCATGAATCTGCTTTAGTAATATACATTATATGTCACTGTAGTTTATCATTAGACTACTTTATCTACATCTTGTGACCTTTAAAAGATATTTGACTTTGACTGTTATAGGTGTGTTGTGTAGAATGACCTATATACATGTCACATGTGTGTATGTGTAGGCACATGTGTGTATTTGTGCCAGCAGGCATAAAAGACCTCCAGTAAGTATCTTTGACTGGATGATACTATCACAGGTCAGGAACTAACAGAGTACTTTTAGAGAGAAGAAAAGTGTTAGACACAGAGGCACACGTGGCTTGACACTGAGGAGCTTTATATAGCTCCTTCAACACGTTTTCCTCTCCATGTACTCTCATCCACGGTCCAAGCTATAGTTTGTACCAGCAGTAATTATAAATGGTCTATAGGCTGCCTGGCAGAGAGCCCAGCCAAACCAGATTCTTGAATCCTTTCACATCCTTATTTGCTGCAGTCAGAAGTATTTTAAAGCCTCTTTGTTTTATATTATTTATACAACTGTGTTAGTCCAGACCCCAGCTGGCTCGAGTGACTGTTCCCATAGAGTCACAGAAGGGTCGTTCCCAAGGGGCCGTCGGTGTCGCATTGATGTTGTGTAATTTGGACAAAATGCAATGATGACAAAAGAAAAACATCACCGCCATATCTATCTGTCTATCTATCTATCTATCTATCTATTCATCCATCCATCCATCCATCTATCCATCATTCATCCATCCATCATCTATCTATTGTCATTATTTGCTTGTTGACAATGTCAAACAATAGAAAGCACCCTTTGTAGTAGGGCTGGGATGATAAGCTTCTGTGCCAATTAGATTTAAATTGCTTTTCTGAAGTATTGTGAAGTATTGTGTTTCAATACTATCGATTATTGTGATTTTCTTTTCCATTTAAAGCAAAAATTAAAGTGGAATCATTCAATAGGAGAGAAAGTAGAATATCAAGAGTATAGTATCAACAGCACAGGCTGTTCAGATATTTTAGTAGTAGCGCCCAGGAGTGCTTAATGAACATTTAACAAACGCTCTGAAAAAGACGCCGGATCCTACAGTTTGTCATTAAAAATACCCACACTCTGCTGGTTTGGCTTTCTCTTCATCTGAAACATCTGCAAAAGATTAACGGACTGATGTAGCGGTCAAGCTTATTGCGGCTAACAGAAGCAGGTTTTCATAAATAAATGACAACCTTAATAGTGCTCTGCTACATATTTACCAGCCTAAAACCAATACCCGCCGTTCACTGGATCCAAATACCACAATCCACTTTTTGTGGAGGGTGGCTGATGTTTTGAAGTTCTTCCTTAAAAAATGAGATGAGGCGGTTGTATGAGAATGAATACATACAGACATGACACCAACTCTCCACTGGTTGTCTTCTTCAGTCAGGATGGAACATCAGAGAGAAAATATCTCCAAACGTTCTTTATTTATAGACTGGTTCAGTCAGAGAGACTGGTGGAGTTGTAGCTTTATTGATAACCTGAAAGACTCCAGGCTTAAGAGAAAACAAGGTATGCATTTTCCGCTCCGTTACCATTTTGGCTGCTGTTCATGTTCATGTGTTACTTTTAATGACAGCTGTCCTTTTCTGTCGGAAAGGTGTCCTTAAATGACTTATTTCCCTGATTTCCGACTCTATCCACTATCCTATCTCTACAATAAAGGCACAAAAAGCCCAAAAATA